CTTATTTAAAAGCCCCCCCAACCCCCCCCCCTGCCCCCTTTCCTGGCACTTCTAATTCCCCTACTTTGCCCTCACCCCAGCAATGACACCTCCTTCCCATTCTTGCCTACTAAAATGTAAGAGCTATCCTGATAGGAATTTTGAATTTTTTTTGCTGACTCAGGCTGCCTGAAGGGCATGTTTGTTAAAGGCATAGGGAGCTGGGGATCTAACCATGGTCCCCTGTACCTGACTGGGTTTGCCCCAACAGGCGCTTAAACAACTGAGCTAACCCACAAGCCCCCTTAAATTTTTTATTAGTACATGTTTACACGAGTAACTCAGGACCTTGTGCTTGCCAGGCAGGCACTGATGCCGCTGAACTATCTCCCCAGCCCTTACATCTGCATATATAGGGTCGGTTGGTCGGTCAGTCTTTTTTTTTGTGGAACTGGGGGTTGAACTCAGGCCCTTGCGCTTGCAGGCAAGTGCTTATTCTACTGCGCTATCTCCCTGGCCCCTGAATGTATACTACATCTTAATTCTTTTTGTCCTTCACATTCCTCCTTGTCTCTCTAACTCTTGTTCTCCTTGTCATTTGAAAAAAGTTTTTTTTTTGTCTTTTTGAAACTGGGTCTCACTATGCAGTGCAGGGTGGCCTTGAGCTCACTTTATGGCCCAGGCTGGCAACAATCCTCACAACAATCCTCCTGCCTCAGCCTCCAGAGTACTAAGATTGCAAGTGTGAGCCACAACACCCAGTGCTGTTTTCATTTTAAAATTTCTTTTCCCTCTCTTCCTTCGCATTGTTCCCTTATCTCTTATTCACCTTCCTGTTTGAAAAAGATCTCCCTATTTTCTCTCTTTTTTTTTTTTAACATTTATTTATTTATTTAGTGTGTGTGTGTGTGTGTGTGTGTGTGTGGCCAGCTCAGCCCACCAGGGGGCGGGGCTGGCTGGCATGTGGTGCTCGGGGATTGAACTGCGGTCCCTGTGCTTTGCCAAGCTTGTTCCAAGTAGGTGCTTTAGACTAGTGAGCCATCTTGCCAGCCCCCCTATTTTCTCTTATTCTTTAATTTGCTCTTTATATTTTGGATTTCTCATGTAAAGGAAACCATACAGTAATTAAAATTGTATCTTAATTTATTTCACTTAACGTTGTGATCTTGAGGTACATCTATTTACCTACAAATGCCTCAAGTTTACCCTTTATGGCAGAGTGTATACACAACTGTTACAATCATGCTGCTATAAACATTGGTATGCATGTATCACTCTAGTATGATTTTTAACTCTTGGGAAGATTCTTGAAAGACTAATAGCTGGGTCCAATGGAATTTCTATTTTTTAGTTTCTTGAGGAATCTTCACAGTGGTTGTACATATCTGTGAACAGTGTAGAATTGCTCCCTGCAGCATTGTCAGTATTTAGTATTTGATTTCTTGATGATAGCCATTCTTTGGAGAGTAGGATGGCAGTTCAGTATTGTTTTAATTTGCATTTCTCTAATAACCAGATGGTCAACATTTTTTCATGTAGTTAGCAGCCATCTGAATACTTTTTTTTTTTTTTTTTTTTTGGCGGAACCGGGGATTAAACTCAGGCCCTTATACTTGTCAGGCAAGCGCTGAACTACTTCTGGAAAGTGTCTTTACATGTAAGTTGCCTATTTTTTTTTTTAAATTTTATTTATTTATTTATTTATTTGTGTGTGTGTGTGTGTGTGTGTGTGTGGCCAGCTCAGCCCACCAGGGGGCGGGGCTGCCTGGCATGTGGTGCTGGGGGATTGGACCGCGGTCCCTCTGCTTTGCTAAGCTTGTAAGTACGTGCTTTAGACCACCGAGCCATCTCACCAGCCCAGTTGCCTATTTTTGATTAGGTCTTTTTTAGGGGGGTTAACATTTGAGTTCCTTGTATAGTCTAGATTTTAGTCATCTGAGGACTAACTGGCAAAAATTTTGCCCATTCTGTAGGTTGTCTCTTCACTGTTGGTTGTTTCCTTTGATAGGCACAAGTTTTTACATTTAATATGATCCCATTTGCTTTCTGTTTTTATTTTTTTGTCTTTTTAAGACCAGTTCAGGTTGGCCTTGAACTTTCAGCAATCCTCCTCCTCCTCCTACCTTGGCCTTCTGAGTGCTGCCATTACAGGTGTGCACCACCATGCCCAGCAGTAAGATTCTCAGTATTATCTTTTGTGCCATTGGTATTCTGTTCAGAAAGCCTTTGCCTATGTCTGGCAGGAATTTTTGTTTGAATTGGTCTCAGTGTCCCTGGGGCTGGTGAGATGGCTCAGTGGTCTAAAGCACCTACTTAGAACAAGCTTAGCAAAGCACAGGGACTGCGGTTCAATCCCCCAGCACCACATGCCAGCCAGCCCCGCCCCCTGGTGGGCTGAGCTGGCCACACACACACACACACACACACACATAAATAAATAAAAATTAAAAAAAAAAAGGACAGGGTCTATAGGGTCTCACTGCATAGATCGGACTCGTAGTGATTCTCCTGTTTTCATCCTCCCACATGCTGGGATTACAGGTGCACGCCAACACGCCCAGTCTCAATCACTGTCTCAGTATGCCCTGTGGGCGGAACTGGCACAGCACACCTGGGATGGAACCCTGGCTGCTGTGTTCTCCCTAAGCAGGCGCTGTAGTCTGCTGAGCTATCAGGCCAGCCCAGCTGAAGTTTTTTTTATTAACTCATAATTCTTTGTCTTCTGGTTTGTTGAAGCAGTAAGTCAGACAACACTTGCCACAACGATGTCTGTCAAGGGGGCTGGCCATAGAAACTCCAGTACCACATTCATCTGAAGGGCACTCTCATGAAGATGGCTACTTTTGCCATTTTCATCCACCTTGTAGTATTTTAGGACAGCCAACGTCACCTTTCTCTTGTGCTTATTCTTCTTGGGAGTGGTGTAAGACTTCTTCCTTTTCTTAGCACCACCACGGAGTCTTAATACAAGATGAAGGGTAGACTCCTTTTGGATATTGTAGTCAGACAAAGTATGTCCATCTTCCAGTTGCTTACCAGCAAAGATCAGCTTTTGTTGATCAGGAGGAATTCCTTCCTTATCCTCAATCTTGGCCTTTACATTTTCTGTAGTGTCTGAGGGTTCAACGTTGAATATGATGGTCTTACCTGTAGGGGTTTTCACGAAAACCTATATCTTGGCAGCAGTTCCACCTTAATTCAGTTAAAAGAAAATGGTGGGTTAGATTGATGGGTGGGGAGAAGGCAATACCCAAGACACAGGCCACAGACTTGCCATGGAGAAGATACCGCAGATCGAATTTATTCTTAACTAGAGGGGCTGGAGAGATGGCTCA